GCATCATAGCTCACAGCAACCTCAAACTCTTGGGCTCAAGTAATCCTCTTGCCTCAGCCTCCTATGTAGCTGGGACTATAGGTGCCTGCCAATACTTGGATATTTTTTTTCTATTTTTAGTAGAGATGGGGGTCTTGTTCATTCTCAGGGTGGTCTCAAACTCCTGAGCTCAAGGGATCCTCCCACCTGGCCTCTCAGATTGGGAGGATTACAGGCATGAGCCACCACGCCCTGGACTCATTTTACTACTTTGATTACCAAATTGTAGTTATAGATAAGGATAGAGATAAAAATAGATAGAATAATTCTGGAAAGTTTGGAAACCTGGGTGACCTTTCATTTCCCAGGAAAGTAAAATCCAAAAAAGGAAGGACAATATGAATCTCTCGGGGATGCTTTGTATAGATCTGCAGTCATTTATTAATTTGGGAACACAAAAATGTGTTGTGTAAAACTGGGTTTGCTTATAATATTGTAACTTAAACTTTGATACATTTAAGTAAATGTAATTTAGTTGCAAAATTTAATTATAATGTTACAAATTTATTTTATTTAGAATGCTTTTAGTTTTAATGCTCATAGAACTAAAATAAGCTTTAAAAATGAAATCTTATAGTTTTTGTGGTTTTACAAAAGGAAGTTCAAAAAGTAAAACTAGAAGAAATATTAAAAATCATAGTTAAATAAAAACATTCTTATGGTTTATTAACTTAGTATCCTCTTTACTAGATTCAACTCATATTTAAAGTGGGGCTGTGAGAAAAGCAGGTGATAAGCTCTCAAAATGCATTGTTCTCAACTTTTCAACATGGAAATTTTATCTCATTTGTCATATTTTCTCAGCTTTTACTAACATTGATTTCTTCATTTAGTGTTTCATCTTTATCACCTACTTGAACTTCTGAAAACTCTGTTTTGCTTTTACTCATGTTATTTTATATTTGTTGTACAGATGCTCCTTGATCCATGATAGGGTTATATCTCAATAAGCCCACCATAAGTTGAAAATATCAGGTTAAAAATGCATTTAAGGCTTGGCGCCCATAGCACAATGGTTATGGTGCCAACCACATACACAGAGGCTGGCAGGTTCAAACCTGGTCCAGGACTGCTAAACAACAATGACAACTGCAACAAAAAATAGCTGGGCGTTTTGGCGGGCACCTTTAGTCCCAGCTACTTGGGAAGCTGAGGCAAGAGAATCACTTAAGACCAGGAGGTTGCTGTGAGCTGTGACTATATGGCACTCTACCCAGGGCAACAGCTTGAGACTCTGTCTCAAAAAATAACGTTTAATACAGATTAACCTACTGAATATCGTAACTTTGCCAAACTATCTTAAATGTACTTGGAATACTGACATTAGCCTAGAACATCCAACATAAAGCCTATTTTATAATACAATATTGAATGTCTTATGTAATTTATTGATTACTGTGCTAAAAGTGAAAAACAGAATGGTTTTTTAGATATCTGAAGTACAATTTCTACTGATTGCATACTGCTTTCATAGTATTGGAAGTTGAAAAGTTTTTTTTGTTTGTTTTTTTAGCTGGTCTAGGCAGGGTTTGAACCTGCCACCCTTGGTTTATGTGGCTGGTGCCGTAACAACTGTGCTACAGGTGCCAAGCCCCCAGAAGTTAAAAAGTCTTAAGCTGAGGCATTATTAAAATGGGGACCATCTCTATTTCAAAATATAAACGCATTTCTTTTGCATGACATAAAAGATGCAGTAGATGGAGAATCAGAGGCTAATAGAAGGCTAGGCAGTGTAAAGCTTTTAGGTACATTTTAAAAGGAATACTCTTGCCACAATTTCAAACCTTATCTTGGATCAAACATTGGAGAAAGTCTTTATTTTGCAATGTTTCAAATGACTAAGGAATCTTAGATTAGGAATGCACCGTATTCAGCCTATCATCTAATGTAGGAATTCCCTCAGTATGTGATATTACTCAGTTTTCGCTTAACTACTTTTAGTGACAAGGAACTCAACTACTTCAAAAGACAGCTTGTAATGTAGGGCGAGGGAAAGTGAAGTCAAAGTTTCAGCTGTGATAAGGTTTTCTTAACCTCTTCCCTCTTTATAAGTCAGTAACAGCCAGGCACAGCGGCTCATGCCTATAATCCCAGCAGCGTGGGAGGATGAGGAGGGAGAATTGCTTGAGCTCAGGAGTTTGAGAGTAAGACCCCAACTCATGAAAAAAATGGAAAAACCCAGCCGGGTGCTGTGGTGAGCACCTGTAATCAGCAGCTTCCGGAGGCTGAGGCAACAGGATGCCCACAGCCTGAGTCTGAGATTGCAGTGAGCTGACATCACTGCACTCTGCTCAGGGGCATGGGGTGAGACTCTGTCTCAACAACAACAACAACCCCCCAAAAAAGCAAAGAAATAAAATATGCCCCCCCCAAGTCAGTTTCTTTGGAGTGGCATAGTCAAGGACACTAGGAAAAGTACTTTCAAATTAGCAAACTACATGGATAATTGTGGGTAAGGAAATATGATTTCCTTCTTATGATCTGATAAAATATAGATCAGGCTCTCACTTTTAGTCATTACTGACTGTTTATTGAAATTTGTTATTAGCTGACTAAAAAAAGCTATGGTTAGTGTCACAGGCAAACCTCTTTTCCCACTTTTAGCTTAGGGTTTGTCATGGCTAATTTACCAGATTTCATTTACTGGCCATATTTGAAATAAAGGCTCTTTTCTTTCTTTCTTTCTTTCTTTCTTTTTTTTTTTTGAGACAGAGCCTCAAGCTGTCAGCCTGGGTAGAGTGTCATGGCCTCACTGCTCACAGCAACCTCCAACTCCTGGGCTCAAGTGAGTCTCCTGCCTCAGCCTCCTAAGTAGCCGGGACCACAGGTGCCCACCACTACGCCCAGCCATTTTTTGGTTGCAGCCATTATTGTTGTTTGACGGGTCTGGGCTGGATTCGAACCCGCCACCTTAGGTGTATGTGGCTGGTGCCCCAGCCGCCTAAGCCACAGGTTCCGAGCCTAAAGACTCTTTTCTATACTTTGACTTGCTTGGTGGTTTAGGTCTTATTTATAATCTTTTCATTTCTCTCCCCCCCTTTCAAACTGGCACTCAGAATATCTCAATGTGTAACTGATAGCTCCTCTAGTGCTCCAGGGTATTCTAGTTTGGGAAAATAGGAAGGAGAACTCTTTGCTTCTCCAATCAAAAAGGGTGTATATATCTTTTTCTTCTCATAAAAAAATCTTTCTCTTAAATTCAGATGTTTTGTTTTATAACCAAACATATTACATAATAGATTTTTTTAAAGAGACAAGGTCTTATTCTATTGCCCAACTGGTGTGATCATAGCTCACTGTAACCTCAAACTTGTAAGCTCAAGTGACCCTCCTGCCCTAATCTCCTAAGTAGCTGGGACTACAGGCTAATTAAAAAACATATATATATGTATTTACATTTTTGTTTTGTTTTGTTTTTTGAAGCAGAGTCTCACTCTGACATCCTGGGTAGAGTGCCATGGTATCATAGCTCACAGCAACCTCAAACTCCTGGGTTTAACTGATTCTCTTGCCTCAGCCTCCCAAGTAGCTGGGACTACAGGGCACCTACCACCACACCTGGCTAGTTTTTGTATTTTTAGTAGAGACAGGTTCTCGCTTTTGCTCAGGCTGGTCTCAATCTCCTAAACTCAAGCAATCCAACTGTTTCAGCCTCCCAAAGTGCTAGGATTACAGGTGTGAGCCACTGTGCCCAGCCTAAAAAATATTTTGTAGACATAGCATCTCACTATGTGGTTGAGGCTACAGAAGAGATATTTGAAGAGCATTTTAATTGTTTTATCATAGTCTTTATGGGTATGATTTAATATATTCATAATCTTAATAATTCTTTATTATATACCACTTTAATACATTCATTACCTACCTCTTGCTGTGGGAGGTGGGTACTTTTGTTAGAGGATTCAGCTTAAACTTTCCTTTAATTTCTGAAACTTCCATGCGGTCAGTGACTTTGTCTGGAATTCAGAAAATGTAATTAATCATCTGCTCACAGATTAATTTCTTATATTCTTTTGTAAATTTTCCAACTCAAGGCCTCGAGTTTGAAAGTCCAGGGCCTCAAAGAATAGTAATATATGCAATTTCAAGTTAGAGGCATGTGCAGTTAGAAGGCCACGTGGAATCCAACTTTATTGTTTACTCTTCCCAGATCTCTTAGCAAAATTTCTCGCCACTGGTCCTCCTACAAATGGTATCACACTGATCCTGTATAAAAATAAATGCTAGGTGAAGTAAACCAGGCACAGAAAGACAAATACTATATGATCTCACTAATATATGGAATCTAAAGTATTCAAACTTACAGAAGCAGAGAGTAGAATGGTGGTTAACTAGGGTTAGGAAGGGGGGATATGGGAAGATGTGGGTCAAGGGTACAAAGTTGAAGATGTGTAAGTTCTGAAGGTCTAATGTATAGCATGCTGACTATGGGTCACAATACTGTATTGTGTATTTAAAATTTGTAAGAGAATAGTGTTAACCACACTCACAAATGGTAACTTTGTGAGGTGATGGATGTGTTAATTAGCTTCATTGTGGTGATTATTTCACAATATATACATATATCAAATCATCAAGTTGTACACCTTACAAAATGGTGCTATGAGATACATGGTACAGATAAAGCATCCTAGAAATATGTGGTAAAAATTATTTATTTTTATTTTTATTTATGTATTTTTGAGACAGAATCTCACTCTATCTCCCTGGGTAGAGTGTGGTAGCATCCTAGCTCACAGCAACCTCAAAGGGCTCAAGCAATTTTCTTGCCTCAGCCTCCCAAGTAGGTGAGACTACTGGCACCCACCACAATGCTTGGCTAGTTTTTCTATTTTTAGTAGAGACAGGGTCCCGCTCTTGCTCAGGCTAGTCTTGAACTCCTAAGCTCAACCAATCCACCCACCTCAGCCTCCAAAAGTACTAGGATTATAGGGAAAAAGTTATTTGAAAACAAAATTTATATATGAAATCAGTAGACTATTTCAAGTCACAATTGACAAGGAATAAAATGTTATACCATTTCTAAACTATTTATCTACTTGTTTATATCTTAGGTTCCTACCTGGTGGTAAATAGATTTTCCTAGGGTTCCCTTCTGGGAGACCCATCCCTGGCCTGTCATTTCTTATGAACTAACTGGTCTTTTTAAAAAGTAGGAATGGGGTGGAGTATAATGCTGTTTTACTATCCAAGACTATCCTGCATGGACTCTAACTACTATGGCCCCTAATTCTCCCTTTCCACTTTTGCATAGTATGAAAAATAGGGCCTATGGACCAGAAGCTGGGTGGGCAGACCTTCCACTTTGTTGGTTTTATCTCTCCAGTTACCTCTCCAAAATGTAGAGTGTATTAAGTAGTTAATGACAAGAAAACTAGATTGCTGACTAACAATAATGGACAATTGAATACTATTAAACTATGAAGAAAAAAGTCTCTCTTAGAATTTTATCAATTTTCCCAGGTCCTCCCTCAGAGCCTGGAAAGCAGTTGTTTTTAAACAATTCAATTATAAGCACTCCAAATCTGGAAACTTACCACAGAGCTGGGAACTCTGGAGAAGGTCAACAATTTAGGCACTTGAAAGGTGCTGTGAAATCATCCTTGTGGCTCAAAATAATCATTACTTTAAAAAAATACCTTCAATCTCTCATAGATTATAAATTTTTAAAAAATGACTCAGCATAGAATCTTATAGAATCCTGCTATTTACTTTTAAGCTGTGCTACTTACCACTTCTGGGCTTCAATCAGATCAAGACTCCAATAAAGGGTTTGTTCCATCATACAACTGTGACCTCATTCCCTGCTCAGGCTCAGGCCAAGGAAGAGAATGACCCATAAGCTCCTTCTAGCCTTAGAGCTAAAGTGTTTTCAGTGTGGGTTATTCAGCATCCCTGGGGTATATAAGGATGTGAATTACAGCATCAGAATATTTGGACACTGACTGTCTAGATTTCAGGGAAGGAGAAGAACAGTTTTGTTTTAAATTCTACATTAATATGTTTTCATGTTAATATTAGTGAATTGAAAATTGTTTCAGTAAAACATTTACCAAGGTGCCTTGACTGAATGATGATTAAGAGTCACCATTAGGCCGGGCATGGTGGCTCATGCCTGTAATCCTAGTACTCTGGGAGGCTGAGGCAGGTAGGTTGCTTGAGTTCAGGAGTTTGAGACCAGACTGAGCATGAGTGAGACCGCCATCTCTACTAAAAATAGAAAAACTAAGGAAAGGGGATCGCTTGAGCCCAAGAGTTAGAGGTTGCTATGAGGTATGATGATGTCCAGCATAGCACTCTACCCAGGCAACAAAGTGAGACTCTGTCTTAAAATAAAATAAAATAAAATAAAATCACCATTAATTGTTTAAGTCTAGAAAGAGAGTAAAGAAACCAAAATCTAACAGGCTTGTAGTCTTTAGTATTATTGGGAAAAGTGATTTAACAGAAGCAATTACAGAAAAAATTGCTAGTTTTAAGCAGGTGCCACAGCATTCATGATATGACATGTCTAATGGTATTGTAAATTCTCTATCATAGGAGTTAAGAGTGTCTTTAGTCTACTATGGCTAAGCACAGTATACCTCTGGCACCCAAGAATCAGCTAGTTATGTAGTTGGGCCCCCAAAATTGCTCTGGGCTCTACTTAGCAGCAGCAATTCTAGAAGTTCCCTATTCCTGCTCATGAGGTTTGTTCATCATGAGCATAATTTTTCTTTACCCTAGTCTTTTCAAACTTGGTACACTGCCTCCCCTTCTGCTTGGGGACATAAAGGGGAAGAGAGGAAAGGTTTAATTTATAAATTATACAAATTAACTCAATGAATATTTACTAAGGAGCTTCTATGTTAAAGGCTATCAAAAAAATTTTTTTTGAGACAAAGAGTCATACTTTGTCACCCTTGGTAGAGTGCGGTGGCATCACAGCTCATAGCAACCTCAAACTCTTGGGCTCAAGTGATCCTCTTGCCTCAGCCTCTCAGAGTGCTAGGATTACAGGTGTGAGCCACTGTGCCCAGCCTTAAATCATTATCTTAAAAAATCTTTAAATGTGGTAAAATACACAGAGCTAAAACTTATCATATTAACCACCATTGTTGTCAACCAATCTACAGAACTTTTTCATTTTGCAAAACTGAAACTCTGTACTCATTAAAAAACAATTCTACATTTTCCCCTCCTGCTAGCCCCTGGAAACCACCATTCTACTTTCTGTTTCTATGAATTTGGTTACTCTAGATAACTCATCAAAGTGGAACCATACATTATTTGTCTTTTTGTGACTGACTTATTTTATGTAGCATAATATCCTGAGGTTCATCCATCATATAGCATGTGTCACAATCTCTTTCCTTTTCAAGGATGAATAATATTCTATCATATGTTATATAAACCACATTTTCTTTCTTTCTTTTTTTTTGTTTTTGAGATGGAGTCTCAAGTTGTTGCTCGGGGTAGAATTATGGCTCACAGCAACCTCAAATTCTTGGGCTTCAGCAATTCTCTTGCCTCAGCCTTCCAAGTATCTGGGACTACAGGTGCCCACCACAATGCCCAACTACTTTTTGTTGTAGTTGTCATTGTTGTTTTCTCTGGCCCAGGCTGGGTTGGAACCCGCCAGCCTTGCTATATGTGGCTAGTGCTGTAATCACTGTGCTACGGGCACTGAGCCAAACTCTTGGGCTTAAGCGATTCTCTTGCCTTAGCCTCCCAAGTAGCTGGGATTATAGGTACCCACCACAATACCTGGCTATTTTTATTTATTTATTTATATATATTTTTGAGACAGAGTCTCATTTCATCACCCTTGGTAGAGTGCTATGGCATCACAGCTCACAGCAACCTCACTCTTGGACTTTAAGTGATTATCTTGCCTCAGCCTCCCAAGTAGCTGGGACTACAGGCACCTGCCTATTTTGTTGTTATTATTGTCACTGTTGTATAGCAGGCCAAGGCTGGTTTGAACCCACAACCTGGTGCATGTGGCAGGTGCCCTAACCACTGAGCTACGGGAGCTGAGCCACCTGGCTATTTTTAGAGATGGGGTCTTGATCTGGCTCGGGCTGGTCTTGGACCAGTGAACTGAGGCAATCTATCTACCTTGGCCTCCCAAGTGCTAGGATTTCAGATATGAACCACTGTACCCTGCCTGATTTAAATTATTTTGGATATATATGTGTGTGTATATATATATATATACCCACAAGTGGAAATACTAGATCATAGAGCAATTCTATTTTAAATTTTTAGAAGAACCATCATGCTGTTTTCCATAGCATTTGTACCTTATTACATTCCCATCAACAGTGCACAAAGGTTCCAATTTTTTCACATCCTTGCCAACACTAGTTATTTTCAATAGCCAATATGATCTGTATAAGATGATAGCTCCTTGTGGTTTTGATTTGCATTTCCCTAACGATTGTGCTATTGAGCATTTTTTCATATGGTTTTTGGTAACTTGTGTATCTTCCTTGAAGAAATGTCTATTCAGGTCTTTCTACTTTTTAATTTGAGTTTTTTTTAATTGAATTGTAGCAATTATTCACATATTAGGAATATTAACTCCTTATAAAACACATGATTAGCAAGTATTTGCTTCTATTCCATAAGTTGCTTTTTCACTTTGTTGGTTGTGTCCTTTGATGCACGGAAAAATTTTGATGTGGTCTAATTTATCTATTTTTACTTTTGCTGTGCATGCTTTTGGTATTATATCCAAAAAAACATTGCCAAATCCAATGTCTTGAAGATTTTTGCTAACGTTATCTTCTTTTTTTTTTTTTTTT